AGCAGGAATAGAAGTCACCTTAGATACCTGTGCAATCACCCTGGGATATTAACATGGTGAAGACATACCCTCTGCAGCTGTTAATGAGTGGCTACTTCATAGCAGTTGTGGGCTTTTATCAGAAACCTGTACTTTAATTACGACCTCTGCATTAATGAAGGAAGCACAGAAGTAGAGGTGTGCAGCACACCGTACTGGGAGGGGAGAGAGACATGGAAATGTGACCCAAGCACACTGAGTCATGAACAAAAAGCAAAACGCAGGCAACTCTTTTCCTGAGCAGTGAGAGCCGGTAACACACACCTCTACACAGCAGCTGTCACAGCCAGCTACAAGCCTTCAAGACAGCAGGTAAATCCAAATTTGCCAGGAGCATGCTCACCAGCTCACCGTTTACATCTGATTTTAGCAGTTCGGGGACTCCAGAAGAGAGCAGGACATACTTAAGCAGGGAACATCTGCAGCTGTTGCAAGAACCGCGCAGTACATCTCTCTGGCAGATCACTGAGGTATAGCAGTGACTTTCCCGTGGCAGGTGAGCCACATCCCTGGCTCTCGTATCACTGCAGACCCCTGTGAAGTTTTGCTCCGGCAGGAACACCTCATGCAGGTGGTACTGGAGTTTTGGACCTCTTCTGCAGCGCCACTGAAAACAGCATTTCCACCTCCCATCCTCAAGCCCACTGCCCAGGAAGTCGTGCTGCTGTTTCCTAGCTGTCAGGCCTCCCCTGCCAACACAGTGCCTCCCTGTAGAAACACGGACCTCCACGGAGCAGCCCAAGCCCCTCAGAGCCCCTTCTAGAGACAGAGCTGTATGGCCTCAGCACCAGAGGAACCTCCACCAAGCACATTGAGTGTTTTACCAACAAAGGCTTTCGCATGATGAAGTAGCAAGCAAAGTCATCAGTGCTCATGCGGTTTCATAGTTTCCCAACAAAAGGGCTCACAAGTTAAATGACATCTTCAGCATAACGGAAGTTGTCTTTATTTTGATGCAGTTTAAGAAGTGTTGCCCTTGCTCAGAAACCTTCTCGAAAGCGCTCTCCCAAGGTGATGCACAGATGTGTGGCCAATATCTCCTGAGCTCACTCATCTCCATGTGAGCTGGCAATCGGAGCAGCTCCCCCAATCCACTTTGCCCCTTTTCCTGGAGGTCGAGGCAGGACACAGCTGTTTCTGGACATCCAGTCTATACAGGGTCCCCAACCCTCCTTTCTTGCTGAGGGTTTCCCCAAAGGATGGCTCAGTTACTTGCAAAGCAGCTCCTGGACCACAGCACTTGATAAACCTGCGTGGAAGGTAACCCAGAAGTCAGAGGCAGGCCAGCAGCTGTTTTTCAGACAGCAGTGACATCCTCACAGCAGCATAAGCTGTCCTCACACACCACTCAACCTATCTTCAGTGGGAGCAGCAGCCAACAGGGGAAAAGCTGGCTCCTTGAGCTGTTCCAGGTGTCCACACACCAAGGGATAGCCACCCCCAGGGGAGCAGAAACATCTTAAATGAAAAAAACCAGTTCAAGGCAGCTTAGAAATGGCACCCTGAGAAAGCCGGTTAGCACGAACCGGGACCAGCACCAACAGTGCCCCAGGCAGCAGTCCAACCAAGCTGGGAGGTCGGACAAGTACTGAGAGAACGCTGCTATGGGCAGGCCATGTAAGAAAAGGAGCAGCAAAAATGAGACAGTTCAGCTAAGTTTCTTGAACCCATGGTTTTCTTTTGTAACCCTGCTAACGGAAGGGATGTGTGCAGAAGGCCACGATGGTGTTCACATACATACACAAACATGAGCCATCACTTCAAGCCTGTGGCACCACTCTCACCCTCGCGCTAGAGACAGAACAAGGTGTGTCAATGGAGGAACATGCAGCTATCCCTCCCCAGAAAGCCAAACCTGTGAAGCCCCAGGAAATGACCCTCATCACTGTGGGGAGGTCACATGAAGGACACACAAGTTGGTATGAATGACATTGGATACCTGAATAAATGAATTTTCTAAGGGAAGTTTTCAGCACTGAATTAAAAAACAAGTTTAGGAAACAAGTTCAGGGACATTGCAGTCAAACTTCTCAGCCACATTCTTTTCACAGCCTGGGAAAAGGTTCCTGTTTAGGTCCAGTTCCGAGTACATCTTTCAAATTGATGATGACATTATTGCCATAGCTCATCACCGCTCAAATCCGCACACAACAGAACACACTATGCAATGGAGGATGATAGCTGCTCTTTTACCATTCCAATCTCTGCCCCCAAGCCTGTCATGATGCCCCTTTTTTGTGTCTCCATCTTGCAGCACATGTGCTGCTCTCCTAAGCTCTCCTCAGAGGCAAATGGGAAGAGGCAGAGTGATGTTTCCATGGTCCCTCCTCCCCCCTTACCTCTGCCCATTCCTCCACTCATGAAGCTCTACGCTACTTCTCAAGGCACAGACATGAAGGGGCACATCAAGATGTGCCAGGCTTCTTCAAGCTATTTAAGCTTTCCTTGGATTCACCTCAAGCAACAAAATACACAATTAACTGGAAAGGAAAAGTGTTTTTTAATGGCTTCACCATTAACAAGAGCCACTCAACTACTGGACAGAACCACTAATGCCTTCATAGTTATAAATATAGTACAGTAAGACAAACAGGACTTCTTGCAGAAAGACGAACATGATTCCACTACATTATCACCTTTTTATTGTTAAAAGGACAGATTTTGACAGTGGAAAAAAAGGATGTTTCACAAGGAGAACAGGACGTAGCTTCTACTGGTCTTTCAATTCCTTCAGTCTTCTGATCGCAGATTTGACTGTCACTGCAGAGGTGGTACTGGAAGAAGAAGCAGAGTCATCTACATGTGGCAGCAGAACAACCCGCGCCAATGTTATTTTTTGGAGAAAGCACTAATCATTTCAAATAGTTATTGCCTGATTGCATTGCCAACAGGGAGCTAATTCCACTTTTGATTTTCACGACAACAAAGCGTAGGCCTTCGTCTGCAGAAGCACGTGCAACTTCGCAAGCTACATCTCAACCCAAATTATCCAGTCACGCATCGACTACATGCACAAGCGCGTGGGCTCAAATTCCTAGCGACTGTTATGCGTGGGGCAACAGTGTCTTCTACCAGAATTGGGGGGGGAAGGGAAGTAAGGAAAAGGAGTAAGCAAGGGCACTACTGCAAAAAGGATTATAATGATTCAATGCTTTTAAAACAAAAACTAAAGACGGAAATTATTTTCCAGGTTTACTCCAAGGTTTTGCCTATTGTATCTGTGTCTCCAAAGTGAAAAGGCTAGGGCAGCAATCACCAAAAAATGCTGCTTCTTTGAAAGAAGACGTTAAGAGTTCCCTTACACAATTAAAAATTTGTATACAGTCAAAAGAATCAAGGAAGGAAAAATAATCCCCAGCTCAGAGGTATAATTTATTAGAAGCTGTTGAAGCTCTTTTTAGAATAGGTCAGAGGCACATCAGTCAGGCATCATCCATACAGCTGATGCCACCCTGAGACAGCTGGATGAACCAGCCATCCTCTCTGCTCCTTTTCTTCCAACATCACCCAAAAACTGGGCCAAGCGTAATACCTCATACAAGCAACAACTGTAGTTCACACCTGCAGTAAGAAATGCTACTACAGCCAAGGCACAAAAGAGACTAATTAAATAAAAATATTTGTTTCAGCATTTACAGATGTTCCAATTTCTTTATTTGAAGTTTGGGAAAAGATGGAGAGCTTGCATTTCTGAAGAATACAACAACTGCTTTGATAAAGCCCAGAGAGATAAAGAAATTTAGGAGGGACCCACCAAACCCAGCAGCAGTAATACGATGGGTAAGATGCAATATTGTCAGAAGCTGCACAACAGATACTGGAAAAAATAGCAATCAAATCTAATCTGATCCATTCCAATCAAATTTTAACAATGCAGGCAAAAAACGCCCACATATCACTAACTCGAGACAGATCTACTTAATGGTTAGTAGATTAAAATAAAAAAAATAAATCGAAAAGTTGTATTATGCCTCAGCTATGTGAAAATAAATGCTGATAGGAGCTTCTTCATTTCCTTACTTGTAAGTCCAGGCACCCCCAGCAACTGTCTTCATGCAGGATCCACAGTGCCAGATACCTACAGCCTTCCTCTTCATTTTGGTCTGTAATAAAAGGGGGGGCGGGGGGCGGAAAAAAAGCACTCTCCATCAGCTGAAAAAGCCAAACAACAAACCTAAGGCAAAGACTTCAGCAGCACAGCATTATCTAAAAGCCTAGTTAAGACAGGCAAGGATCAGGGAATGATTCTTCAGAATTTATTCAGATTCTGAAGAACAGGGGAAGTCCTTCTGAAACACTTTTTCATTCAGATATGAAGCAGGTCATTTTTAAGCACATCATCAAAACGTCAGCTCTCTTTGAAGGAGAAGAATAGAAGGAGCTGCATCAGCCACAATAACTGGTATTCTCACTGGTCTGATGACCAACATACCACCACTGTTCTTAGTGCTCCCTGCACATCCCAGGACTGCTCTAAACCAGGCCCCCTTTGAACAATACCTACAGAGCGAGTGGGGGATACTGAACGCCTTCACCTGGGCAACCCTCCATCACCTCGTGAAGATGATGGGGAGGTTTGCCTAGACCTATGCTGGATTTAGGCAGCTCTGCAAATGGGGTTTTCAACATTCTCACTTCACATGAGAAAGATGCTAAATATAAAACCAGATGGAAATCTTTTTAGATTTCCAGCCACTTAAAAATACCTACTTTACAAATATCAATACAAATTATCTGGGCGAAGTACAAGTTGATGGGCTCTCAAAACTGTTCAAAAATCACACGTAAGAGTGAATTTTGATTATGATTTGATTATGCAGGTAAGATTTCTTATCAGAAATTCTTCCACATCCAGAGTTACAAATATGAGTAGGCAACTGCAATCCAAAGTTTTAAGTGTATAAAGTATGCTCCCTTCCTCCTCCAGGTAAGCTGTAAAGTTACTGAAGGAAAAAAAAAAGCAAAAGCCACACCTTAATTATCAGGATAACAAGTGTGTTGTTTTAATTCTGTTACGTCTTTTTATTAGATGCCTAAAACATACAGTATGGCAACATTTCTCACTACTTTATGTAATGAAGTATAATTTATGTTTGTTTTCATTTAACTACCACTAAACATACACATGAAACATCTGCTAACTCTTTTTACATTTTTTATTTTATAAAGGATTCTGACAGTAGCCTAAAGCTGTCTCAAAACAAGTAAAGTTATCTCTTCAGCAGAAAAATTACCAAAGCATCAAACTGCATTTCTAGCATCAATAACAAAGTTTTTTTTAAACACTTTTTTAGGGAAGGAAGTCTTACCTTGCCACAGAAGGAGCAGGTATACTTGGCGTGCTGGCTAATTTCAATTTTCTTCACCATTTTCCTAAGGGATGCACCATAACGGGTACCATATTTACCCACAATCCCAACTTTCTTGGTGCGCTTAGCCTATTGGGAGGCAAACCAAAATAAGCTTCAACTTTACCGAGATCGGCCGCTGCCCTCTCCTGACATGACAGCAAAGAGCTCAGCACTCAAAAGCGGCGCTGCAGCCGACCAACACCTCTCCCTGGCATTGTAAACAGAGCATTAGTTATGAAAGGGCAAGAGGCTCATGCTGCCGCAGCCTCCCGGCTTCTGCTGGGGCACGTCGGGCAGAGGGCCGCAGTCTGGCAGCCAAGATCGAGCAAGGCCACGGCCTTCCTCAGGGCCAGCCCGCTCTCACATGAAACGCTGCAGCCAGCAGAGCCGCCCACCAG